TATTCGTCAGAAAGTCTGCAGCGGCTTCAAAAATGTACGCCAACTCCTGTTCAAAATGTGCCTCTCGCCTCAGCGCCGCTCAACTTCGTCTTAAAAGCTTGCAGCCGCATCAGGGATTCGTAGGGTTGAAGTCTCAGAAATGGCGTCCTGGACGATTTAGGATTGTCAGGACGCAACAGTCAAGTAGATTCGCGGAATTGATGTCCCAGGAACAGCGTTCTGGCAAGATTCAGAATTGCCAGGACGCAACGGTCACGATGATTCGTGGCGCTGCAGACTCAGGAATTGTATCTGGAATGACCTAGGATTCTCGACTCCGCCGACCCTGCTGGCGTATGTGAAACATTTTCCGTCTGAATCGCCGTCGCCACTCTCCCTCTTTCCTTGGGCCCCCCTCCTCAAGAGACCCAGCCGGACGAAAATCGAACAGCGTCGCAATTGACTCAAAAGGAAGCCAGTTCCGTTTGATCCTTCCCAGCGCCGGGGGGGAGGGGAGCGTCGCCAGGGGGTCCTGGGCAAGGTCCCTCCTCCTGGAGGCACCCTCCTCACTCGCATCTGCTGTTGCGTAGTGCTTCCTATTTTCTCACGTGCCTCAAAGAAGCTTCAGATCCGCTCCAAGGTGGCTCCACGGAGCTTGCCAAGAAGTCCCCCAAGAGGGAGGCTCCCCGACAGAGCCAAAAAGGCTCCCAAGAAAGCCCCGAAGAGGGGTCCAGAGCGACAGCGTCGTCGTCGCCGCCGCCGCCGACGTCGTCCCCCTTCAGGGTCGGCGGCACCAGCCGCAAGGCCTTCTCAATATTTTCGGACATTGAGGGGTGGTCGGATCCGATCATGATGTATGCTGTAAAACTATTGCTTGATTGCCTTGTCCTTGTCCTGGCGAAGCATCTCCCCTTTGGGGGAATCTTGGGGAGTGACATCTGCCCTTCCTTTGCAGTATTCAGACGGTTGTGTTTCGTCTCCTCCCCATGTGCCAGGAGGCGGAGAATACACATTCCTATAGCGACCTATGACAAGGGACCTTGGAGTGGGGGGTTCATGAAACATCCTTGATGCGTTCTCGTCGTCCTCCTCCTCCTCTTCGTCCTCCTCCTCCTCCTCCTCATCCTACCTCCTCCTCCTCCTCCTTCCTCCTCCTCATCATCATCGCCCTCCTCCTCGTCCTCCTCCTCCTCGTCCTCCTCCTCCTCGTCCTCCTCCTCCTCGTCCTCGTCCTCGTCCTCCTCCTCCTCATCATCGCCCTCCTCCTTGTCCTCCTCCTCCTCGTCCTCCTCCTCCTCGTCCTCGTCCTCCTCCTCCTCCTCCTCGGCCTCCTCCCCAGGGCGAAGAGGAGCGCGGGACGCGAGGCCCGCGGGGCTCAGGAGGAGCTGCGGACGGGGAGGGGAGGGGGGAGGCGGGGCGACGGGGGAGGCGAGGGAGGGGGGCAGGGACGAAACAGGGAGGCGGCAAGGAGGGAGGAGGGAGGAGGGAGGGAAGCAGCAAGAACGGAGGTATCGGAACTCACCGGTTATGCCTGTTCAGAGGGCACTGGATCTTCTAGTCGTGGGCCGTGGGGAGGATATTAGAAGTCAGACAATCCACCCCCAGAACAACCACCCCGACACGCGAAGTCGCGCCCAAAGAGGGAATCGAACAGGGCAGGGCTGTTTAATAAACGCCTAAGGCCGTTTAGTAAACGCCAATTGTCCGGTGCAGAGAGAGGGAACAGGGAGGGAGGAGAGAGGGAGGGAGCACGGCGAGGGAGAGGAGAGGGCAAGGAGGGAGGAGAAATGGAACGGGGAGGGAGCAGGGAGGAAAGGAAGAAGAGAGGCCCGGTGCAGTCCCGCGACATCTGACATCCTACCTCTCCCATTCATCCATCCCCGTTGCGCTGATAATCTCTACATCCGCCCATGGCTGTCCCAGCGCAATCAGAAGGCGGCGCCGTGCACATCGGAGGGATGAGCAGGGGATGAGCGGGAGGATGGGAGGGAGGGAGAAGGAGGAGGAACAGCAACAACACGAGCAAGGGAAGCGGGAGGAGCGGGAGGAGCAGGAGAACCAGGGGAAGGCGTAATAGGGGAGAGGAGAAGGACGACATCGACGAATGCGTCGAGTCCATGACGGCGAGCGGAAAGGATGGGAAAATGAGGAGGAGAACGACGAAAAATATACAAACAAAAAAAAAGAAAAACAAAAAAAAAAAAAAACGCCACCCTGGAAGGGGGCGCTTTGCCGCACAACTCGAGGCCGAAGACGCTCAGGACGGCCCTAACGACCACGGACTCCCTCAGGAGCGGCCTCCGGAACGGCAGCGCCGATCCGCCCAGGTGCGAGACCCACCTCGACCACACAGTGCTGGGCCAACAGCTGGTCGCACGTCCCGCAGCCGCAAAGCTCGGACAGGGGCCGCGGATCCAGGGAGCCGTGCCATGGCGGCAAGCGGGAGTGGAGGGGAAGGGGGAAGGAGGAGGAAAGGACAAGCACATGCCGCTGCATCACCCGACCGAGCCGCAGCGACGATCCAGAAGGGAAGCGGCTGCACTGGCACTGCGCGCCGCGACGAAACAAGGCGCAGCGAAACTGTGCGTGTTCGTGCGCGCGAGGCCACAACGCAAAACAGCACCGCACAACACATCACAACGCCAAGCTGGTGTGTGTGTGTGTGTGCGTGTGCGTGTGCGTGTGCGTGTGCGTGCGCGTGTGCGTGTGGGTGTGAGTGTGTATGTTTGTGAAAGATAGAATGTGTGTAAGAGTGGGTGTGTGTGCGTGCGTGTGTGCGTGCGTTGGTGCGTGCGTGCGTGTGTGTGTGTGTCTGTGTTTGTCTATGTATGTATGTGTGTGTGTCTGTCTGTCTGTGTGTGTCTGTGTGTGTGTCTGCGTGTGTACACTTCCATCTGCCGTTCGCTCTTGAAGACCTTCTGCGCCGCCGACTTGAAGTGTCTGTGTGTGTGTGTCTGTGTGTGCGTGTGTGTCTGTGTGTCTATGTGTGTGTGCCTGTGTGTGCGTGTCTGTGTGCGTGGTGACGCTGTGTGCGCTGATTGCTGACACTGCGTGGATCGTTCAACCGTGAACGGCCCCGGCTTTCCGATGGCGCCGAACACTCGATATCGGCCGACTCCAGCCCACTGGCAGTGTTCAACCCTGAACGTCCGCGCCTGGGCCGCCACCGCGTCGGCACGACACGAGCCTGCGGCGCACACAGGGCAGCGCAGCACAGAAGCCCACTGTCGCAGCCCCGTATGAAGGGACCCTGAGACACACAAATAAATACACACAAATAGAAGGAGTCCATATACATATATATATATATACACACACATATTTTCTGGGTTTTTGTCTTCCCCCCCACTTCCCCTATTTTCCTATATTTTCTGGGGAATCGACGATTAATTGTGTCTGTGTTTTTTTCCCCTCCTGACCGTAGAGATCTCGGCGTAAATAGGCGGGTCCGGAGGGCAGCGGGCCCCGGACCCCTGAGGCCTCCCCCCAGGACCAGCGTCTCTCGGGGGCGCGCAGAACATGGATGAGCGATCCATGGACATGGGGCGCGCGGTCACCAAGTCCATGGATCGGGGGACGCGCCCTCCCCAAAGTGCGGCCAGTGCCGCCTCGCTCGGCGGCGGAACTCCGCGATGTCCCATGGAACCGGGACCCGTCGCTGATCCACGCCCCCTGGATCCATGTCTGCGATCGCCTGATGAGGGAAGCGGGCCCTGGACCCGTCGCGATTTTTTCACAACGCGAGGGGGTGAACAGCTTCTCGTCAGGTCCTGAGCCGTCTTGCTGACGGTCCGGGGCTCGTGAAGGGCCCCAGGAGCCCGAGAACGGCGGAAAACCTCGGGACCCGTCTCCCTCAGAGATAGAAGGGACCCAGGGACACACACACACACACACACACACACACAAACACACAAACATATATATATATATATATATGTATAGATGCACACACACATATACACACACACAAATCCCAGGATCCCCTTTATACTTTCCCATATATTTTCGGGGCTGTCGTCTTCGCCCCCCACTTCCCATATACTTCCCTACTTTTTCCTGGGGGTCGGCGATCAAATGTGTCTGTGTGTATTTCCCCCTCCTGATTGGAAACCGCTTCCTTCTTGGCGGAGATCGCATCCGCCGCCCTCGGGGATCTTCTCGCCCGGGTCAATCCAGACCCGGGTCAGCCAGGCCTTGCAGGATCCTGCGAGACCCTGCGGGATTCTTCCAGATCCTTCGCCCAAACCCGGACCGCTGCGCCCCTGGCCCTGCAGGATCCTGCAAGATCCTGCGCCCTGGCGGAACCCCGTTTGCATTGACTGAAGGGGCCCAAGGGCACACAAATAAATACACACAAATAAAATGGTTCCCTATATATATATATATATATATATATCCCTATATCGTCTGGGCTTCTGTCTTCCCCCCTCCTCCCATAGTTTCCCACATTTTCTGGGGAATCGAAGATTAATTGTGTCTGTGTGATTCTTTTCCCTCCTGAATTGACCCCCGCCTCAATAGAGGCCTCCTAGATGGGGTCGGAGTAGACGTGGTCGGAGGATGGCGCCGCATCGCCGATACATCGGCGATGCATCGGCGATGTATCGGCGATGCACTGGTGATGCACCGGCGATACATCATCGACGTGGGCGATGCATCGGCGACGCCAGCGTCAGGAAAATCGGGCTCCGCATCGAGCCGCGTCGTCGATGCATCAGCGATGCGGCGCGATCCTCCGACCCCATCTGCTCCGACCCCATCTAGGAAGCCTAGACTCAAGGCCCCCAACGCTCGGGAGCGGCCAAAAGGGGGGTGTCCAAGAGGGGGGGGTGCAAATCATGACCGGCGGCATGTGCGCGGCCCAGCGGGGAGGCCAGGGACGTCATGAAATGAGAAGAGGCGCCATGAAATCTGGGGAAAAATCATGGCCCCCGCCATGATATTCACCCCCCCCTAGTCATCACCCCCCTCTTTTCCGCCCCCGAAACGCCCCCCGCAGAGGCGGCCGCCGGGGCCGACGCCTGCGGGCCCTCCGCCGCCCCGAGGTACGCCGAGACCACCCGGTGCGCCTCCAGGCCGCCGGCCCGGCCGCCCGGCGGGCGAGGCGCGGGGCGTGCTGCGAGGCGCGTGGGCTCTGGGGCTCCAGGGAAGGGGCCCTGGGACACACAAATAAATACACACCAATAAAAATATCCCCCCTATTTGGGGGGTTTTCGTCTCCCCCCCCCCACTGCCCCTATTTTCCCCTATTTTCTGGGGGATTCGACGATGAATTGGGTCTGTGTGGTTTTTCTCCTCCTGATCCAGGGTTTTGGAAGGGATGTGGAATTACAGTGCTTTTGTTCTTCGAGGGGTCTCGTGCCAAACTTGGGCACCAACACCACCTTCTGCCAGACGTGTTTCATATATAAAGATTGGCTTGGGCGGGAAGCAGAGGCTACACAGACCGTGCTTGCACTCAGTAGAACACAGAAAACCGCCACAACAGCAAACTTTTGGCGCTCCGCGCGGATTTCTTGGACCTGCGCTGGTGCCCCCTCCCTGGCGCGCAGAGCGCGGAACCGAGAAGTCCGCGCGGAGCGCCAAAAGTTCATGGTTTATTGCGTGCGTTCTCCTTCGACTCAGGGGTTCTGGCCTAGGAGGAGGAGGAGGAGGAGGAGGAGGAGGAGGAGGAAGAGGAGGAGGAGGAGGAGGAGGAGGAGGAGGAGAGAGGAGGAGCAGCAGGAGGGGGAGAACGGGAGGAGGAGGGCGAGAACGGGGAGGAGGAGGAGGAGGAGGATGAGGAGGAGGAGGAGGAGGAGGAGAGGAGGAGGAGGAGAGGAGGGGGAGGGGGAGAGGGGGGAGGAGCTTTTCTAAGGTATTGGAGGAGGGTGCCGAGGTCTCGCCCCGTGGCCGCCCGCGCTCCGCTCCCGGGCGCTCCGCGGGCGCGATGTGTGCGCGGGATGGGCGTGCCGAGGCCTCGCCGCGGTGCCGCCCGCTGCCGGGTCGCGGCGGGCCACGCGGGCGAGCTGCCATCCCGCGCACAGAGCTTGGGCGGGCCTCTCCCCCCTACAGAAGGGGGTTTTGGACGAAGAATACAAAATACTCCAAAAAACACTCCAAAACAGTCAAGAAAAGAAAAAATCAAAAAATAGCCCCCCATACTACGTTTCGACTACTTTTTGAATATTCCCCCTGTAGAGGGACAGGCCCGACTTAAGCATAGTGAGCGTTCTCTTATTCGGCGTCTCGACAGCGGGCGGAAGGGGGGGGGAGGGGTCTGGCTCCAAACCTCTGCTCAGTGCGACTGTTTGGAACCGTGCGTCCTCGGGGGGAGGGGCTCCACCTGCTTAAAACAGGCGCCAAAAACAGCAAAGCCCTACTCCATAGGGGGGGGGGAGAGGGGGCGGTGCGAGGGCCCGCGCCGATCGGCAAAACGGTGAATGAGAAAACGTTCACACAGCTTACTCCGCAGAGCTTCCACAACATTGCTTGCACTGCGTAGCTTACGCCACATAGGTTGCCACATGTATAGGCAGAAGGCATCTATACACCACCACCCTTCCTGGCCAGGACCATCCTGGGCCCTGGCATGGTGTATACGCCTCCTGGCCGAGGCCGGAAGGGCATGTACACAATCGTGAAGCCCAGGGTGGCCCTGGCCGGGCACGGTGGTGGTGTATAGATGGTTAGATGGCAGCTGCGGACAGGTAGCTCGCACATCCACGATGCACCCGGCCGGAGATTTAGCCATACCATGCGATTTGGAAGCGTATTCCCCCCTCCCCCTTGCGGCCCTCGGGCGCCGCGCTTGGCGCGCCCCGCGCCCCCCGCACCCCGCCGCACAGCTCCGAGAGGAGCGCAGACCTCCGAAAGCTTGTGCTCGCGCCGCTTCTTCCCTCCCGAACGTCGGGGCTGGCGAAGGGGCCCGAGCCGGCGAAGGGGCCCGTCGGCGGAAAGCGGCGCTCGACGCCCGCAAGGCATACCTCCCGCAGCTCCTCCGCCGCGCCGCCGCCCCCCTCCTCCGCAGGGGTCCCCGCGGCCGCCGCGGCGGACAGCCTGCCGACGAGCCTCACGGAACGGCCCGCGCTGGGCTCTCGCCGCCGCCGCCGCTGCCGCCGCCCTTCTCCGCAGCCGAGGCCATCGCCGCCGCTTCCGCCGCAGACGTCGCCGTCGTCGTCCTCTTTGTCGTCGTCGACGTCGTCCGCGGCGGCGTTGGCGTTGTCGTATTCGCCATCGTCGGCGTCGTCCTGGTCGTCGTCGTCCTCGTCGTCGTCCTCGTCGTCGTCGTCCTCGTCGCCGTCGCCGGCGTCGTCGTCGTCGGCGGCGTCGGCGGTGACGGCGTCGGCGGTAGCGGCGTCGGCGGGCGTCGGCGTCGGGGTTCCTTCGGCGGTGTCGGCGTCGGCATCGGCGTCGGCGTCTGAATCGGCGTCGGCATTGGCGGCAGCGTCGGCGTCGGCGTCGGCGTCGGCGTCGGCGTCGGCGTCTGCGTCTGCGTCGGCGTTGACGTCAGCGTCGGCGTCGACGTCGACTGCGTCGGCGTCGGCGTCGGGGTCGGCGTCGGCGTCGTTGCCGACGCCGACGTCACAATGTATTCAAAATTGCGCTTTCGCGCAAGACGTCCTCAAAATGTACCCAGAAATCGCGCTCTCGCATCGGAATTCCTCTGCATTGATTGAAACGCCGCGCCCTCGACATTCAGGAATCCCGCTCTCGCTCTGCCCTTTCTCACGACATACGTGGGAGTAAAGCTAACGCTCCAGACTTCCTCGAAATCCGCGCAGGACTGATGCTTCAGCGACCCGCCCGCTCGACCTGGCCGTGTGAGTCCGCCCGCCGGACCCGCCCGATAGGGTCAGCCCGCCCGACCCAGTCATCTGGTTCTGCAGCTTGTTTTCCTCGTGTTCTATCATCTATTGCTAATCTGGTGTTTTCCTCGTGTGCTATCCTCTACTCGGTTTCCGCGTGTTTTTCTCATCTGGTTCTGCCGCTTGTTCTGCGGCCCGACACCTCTACTGCTAATCTCCCTCGTGCTCTATCCTTCTCCCCCCCACGCGTCGCTTCCGTCCTCCCTCCATTCTCCTGTTTAAGGGCATCGCCAACCACACGTGGCAGGTAAGCGAGATACCCCCGAGGAGGGTACGATCGAAGACGAAAAAGGCGGGTATCGAGGATGTGGAATATATGCTGACTGGCACGCGAGTTGACAAGAACGAACAGTCTTGAACTGAGTGTTGTTGTAGTCCGAGTGGAGCAACAGCACAGTTTGAGCAGGGAGGCGTTGCCCGCTGGAAACAAAGAGCGGGCGTGGAGGGGGACACCTCGATTGAACAAAGACAGACTGGGCACTAATCCACTCATCGCACTACGACAAGGAACACTGAAACGAGGGCGCTTCTCAGACAACGGCCAGCCTCGGCCACGAACGAGCTCCCCGACCTGAGATTTGAAGAACGGCTCGAAAACTGGAGCGCCTCCTTATCCTGGTGGACCTTGCTCCAGCCTCTCGACTGCAGGGGAGGAGGAGGAGGAGGAGGAGGAGGAGGAGGAGGAGAAGGGAGGAGGAGGAGGAGAAGGAGGAGGAGGAGGAGGGGAGATCAACAAAACTCGATCCTTCAGACGCAAGGATCCAGCGAAGGCAGCGGCAGCAGCCCGTCGGCCTGTCGCGCGCCCGCTCCACGGCGGCGAGGGTGGCCGTGGGCCGCAGCCGCAGCCGCTCGAAGTGGCCCGCGAGCCGCTGGCCCAGGCACAGGAGCTCCACCAGGCGCGCCAGGAGCTCCTCGTGCTGTCCTCCTCCTCCTCCTCCTCCTCCTCCTCCTCCTCCTCCCTCCTCCTCCTCCTCCTAACTCCAACTCCAACTCCAATTCCAACTCCAACTCCAACTCCTCCCCCTCCTCCTCCTCCTCCTCCTCCTCCTCCTCCTCCTCCTCCTCCTCCTCCTCCTCCTCCTCCTCCTCCTCCGCCTCCTTCTCAGCAGCAGCAGCAGCAGCAGCAGCAGCTCCTCGCGCTCCCGCTGCTCGGACACGGGCCGCTCGGACTCCTCTGAGGGACACGAACGGAAAATCGTTGCACCGAACCCCCCATCCCCACTGGCGTGGCCTTGCCCGGCTGGCCTACTTGTACCCGCCCATATAACCCAGGTGGGGTGTGACTACATATACATATATATATATATATGTATAAACATACATACATACATGTATATGCATATATACATATATGTGTATATATACACGTGCACTTATAAAATTAATAAACATGTGTGTGCATACATATTGATATACATTGTACGAAAATGTTTACAGATACCTGCAACACAGGGTCGAGTGTTCACAGCCCTCCCAGATGGGGTGGGTCCAAAAGCCCACTTGCCACCAACCCCCCATATGGGACGGGGGGACGACGACGACGACGACGACGACGACGACGACGACGACGACGACGACAGCGACGGCGACGGCGACGGCGACGGCGACGGCGGCGACGGCAACGGCGACGGCGACGCCCGGCGACAGCGACGACGGCGACGGCGACGGCGACGGCGACGGCGACGGCGACGGCGACGGCGACGGCAACGGCGACGACGACGACGACGAAGACGACGACGACGACGACGACGGCACCGCAGCACCACCCCACACCTACAGGGGGAGGGGGGGGCATTGACATGCCCTACCACCCCACACTCACAGGGGTGGAGGCCACCACGCCACGCCAACATAGGGGGAGATCCATCCCGCGGGGGAGGGAGGCCCGAAAGCATCAGCATGAGGGGAGGGCCCGGGCGAAGGCCTCGCAAATGGGATCGCTCCCCCCTTGTGATCGTGGCCCTGTGGGCATGGCGTGGTGGAGGGGGGTTGCCAGTGCCCCTCCCCTCCCCCTGTGGGTGGGCATAAGGTGGTGCTGCTGCGGTGCCGTCGTCGTCGTCGCCGTCGCCGTCGCCGTCGTCGTCGTCGTCGTCGTCGCCGTCGCCGTCGCCGTCGCCGTCGCCGTCGCCGTCGCCGTCGCCGTCGCCGTCGTCGTCGTCGTCGTCGTCGGCGGCGGCGTCGTCGTCGTCCCCCCATCTCATCTTGGGGTGGGGCGTGTGGAACCCTTGGACCCACCCCATCTGGGGGGGAGGGGCCTGCGAACCCTGGACCCGGTATCATATATGCCTGATCCTTCGGTTTTCGCGGGGCCTATCCCTCCTCCTCCTCCTCCTCCTCATCCTCCTCCTCTTCCTCCTCCTCCTCCTCCTCCTCCTCTACCTAGAGGAGTGGGCTGGTGGGGCCGAGAGGCCGTGGCCCAATGTGGACGGGGACAGGTTGGACGATACTGAAAAAAAGCACGGCAACAAGCACGCATCAGTGCCCCTGCGGTCAGGCGGCCCCATCACATCGGCGTGTCGGTGTGGAAGAAGAGTGCTAGGCGTGTGCTCAAACAAATGAGCGAGCAGCGCGCAAAGATTCAGGGACGGACAGCGTGCCACTGGTTGGAGGCTTCCGAGATGGTGTCGGAGTGGATTGTAGATGGGGTCGGGGGATCTCGCCGCATCGTCGATGCATTGCCGATGCATCGGCGAGGTCTTGCTGACGTCGGCGATGCATCGGCGACGTCGGCGTGGATAAAATCGGGTTCCCCATCGAGCCGCATCGCCGATGTATCGGCGATGCCGTCGGCGTGGATAGCATCGGGCTCCACATCGAGCCGCACCGCCGACGCATCGGCGCTGCGGCACGACCCTCCGGCCCCTTGAAACTCCGACCACCACCTGGGAGGCCCGAGACTGGTACCCTTTTTATCCCTCCCGAGCTCCGGGGGCAGCACCCCCTTCTCCTCGCACTCCAGGCGGAGGCTCGCCAGGGGCATCCGCCGCCAGACGGCCGCCTGCCCGAGGGCGCCCACCAGCGCCTCCCGCCCCGCGGCGGCCTCGCGCGCCCCCTCCCCGCCCCTGCCGGGGAGGCCCAGCCGGAGGCCCAGCTCGGAGAGCTCCGAGAGGCTCAGCGCCTCCAGGCCCTCCACCTCAGGGGAAACCAGAATCCCACTAGCCCCTTGGGGCGTGAGTGGTCTGGAGCGTGTCTTCGCTTCTGATTCGTCTTGTTAGTATTCCCCTTCTTCTGATTATGAACTAGTCTTATTCATACTATCATTGTTACTACTGTTAGCTTAGTAGTGTTATTGTGTGTAGCACTCTTCTTCTCATCAATAATACTGCTATGCTCAATTATTGAATTACTATAGTATCGTTATAGCTAGTACTATAAGTATTGGCCGTAGTATTCTTACGAATTGGATTACAATGGCACTGCAATGTATAGCATTATTATTAGCATTCGTATTATTATTATTCGTATTTCTCTTATTATCATGATTAATACTGTTGTCATTGGTCCTGGGACGCCTTATGTTGCTTACCCGTAGTAGTCGCATCATTCTTCTCACTCGTATTATCAGCGTGCTGCTTGCTAGTATTGTGATTTCGACTCGCAATAGCATTCGTAGCATTACTCGTGCTACCATTATTATTAGTAATGGTATATTCGGATTGGTGATGTTGGGTTATGTTTGCACTATTCCTTCATAATAGTATTCGCGGAACTATGTTACTTAATAGCAGCACTTCGCTGTTACTAGTACTAACAGTGTTCACGTCCCTCTTCCTCTTCTTATAAGTAAGGTCAGGCTTCCTTTTCTTACGAGTATGAATAGTAATATGGTTATTCGTAGTCCTATTGTTAATATCATGCATTCTTGAAAGTATAAGCAGATATAGTATGATTGATACAATTGATTTTAGTGTTATCCATGTCCATACCGTCATTATTGTCATGGTTCGACGTTTCTTCTAATTTCACTTTCCCCGTCGGGAAAAAATATCACTGTTCCTTGTGAATAAACACCCCTTCCCCCAGGCGACAAGCAGCAAACCAGGACAAAGGAGGGCCCTTCCCCACATCATCCTTGTCAAAAACCATGTGAAGTCCACTTTGGGGCAAAATCTTGGTTCATAGTCGGGGGGGGCGCGAGCATTTTGTCTTGTTTGTTGACAGGGACGGCGGGAGTGCCCGCGTATTGTTTGCTGCGCGAAAGGCCAACATCCCGATCAAAAAAAAACAAAAAATGCACTTCGAGGAAAAATATGGATCATGCGCGGGCACCCCGCGGTCACTACGCACTGGTTTGGGAGTGGGACCGGGGGTGCTGGCATATTGCCTGCTATGTGCATGCCCACCAAAAGCTATGATGGCCAACCCGCCGCGATTGCGCACTGGTTTCGACAAGGGTGGTGAAGGGCTTAAGGGCTACACGATTCCCGATGTGTACTGTCACGTGCGCCAGCGCACCTGGCACACTCTGCGCGTGCCTCGAACGTGGCGCACATGGCGCGGCTGGAACACGCGGCACACAGGGCGCACGTGGATTACGTGGCGCATCTGACGCACCAGGCATGCCCGGCACGCTTGGGCCATAGAGGGTGCCTTGCGCTCTTGGCGTGCGTGGCGCGCTTGGCACGCCTAGCCCACCTCGTCCCAGCGTTGCGCACATGGGGTCCGTTTGGGTTCCCATGAGCTGCCCATCCAAAGACTACCGCTGAACACGCCGCAGCTCGGGTGCTACTTGTGTGTTGGGAGAGCGGGTGGGTGAGCGAGACGGCTTGCGGGCGAAAGGGTGTCTTGATCACTGCTCCCTTATAATATACACCCCCTCTCCCAAGCGACCGGCGGCCAACCAGGACCCACGCTAACCCCCCATCCCATCCGTTAACCAACAATACCAAACGCACTCCGCCTCCACATTTAGAGCATGCGCGGCCAACCCGATGCGGCCGCCCCCACCACCCCTGTCAAAAAAAGCCATATAAAGTATACTCTGGGGCAAAGTATTGAGTCATGTTCGTGGGCCCGCGAACATTTGTATTGTTTTTGACCAGGACGGCGGGGTTGCCAACATCTTGCCTGCCGTGCGCTGGGTTACTATCCCTTACAAAAACAACTTACAAAATGCATATTGCGGGTAAATCTGGATCATGCGCGGCCACCCCGCGAAAATTGTCAAATGGTTTTTGGCAGGGACGGCGGCGGTGGTGACGCATGGCTTGCTGTGCGCAGGCCCACCAGACGCAATGATAGGCATCGGGTTTCGAAAATGATGGTGGGGGCCGACATGTTTCCCGATGTATGATGTCACGTGCGCTGGCGCACCTGACACACTCTGCACGTGCCCCAAACGTGGCGCACCTGGCGCGGCTGGAGTATGCGGCACACCTGGCGCACGCGGAACATGTGGCACATCTGGCACACCAGCCGTGCCTGGCACGATCGGGCCCCAGGGGTGTTCGGCGCGCGTGGCACGACTGGCACGCGCGGCGCACATCGCCCCAGCGTTGCACACATGGGGTCGGTTTTGGTTCCCAATACCTGTCCATCCAAAGAAGACCGCTGAACATGCTCAGGCTCGGGTGTTGCTCGTGCGTTGCGAAGGCGAGTGGGAGTGAGCTAGACGGCTTGCTATTGACCCACAAATCACTGATGTGGCTAAGGCTGTGGCCACAGGTTGGCCTCCTGGGGGGGGCTAACATGGGGACCCCCCCGGACCCCCCCCCCTTTTTCGATCGGAATCTTCCCAAATGGCCCCCAACGCTCCCAAGAGTGCCCCAAGAGGGCCCACATAGGCGCATAAAAGCACCCAAGAGGTCCCAAGAAGCTTCCAAGAGACACCCAAGAGAGGCTCCACGAGGCTCCCCCGATGCCCCGAAGACGCTCTACAAGGCCTCCGGAGCCGCCAAGAGGCCCCCAAACGCTCCACGAGGACTCACAGAAGCTCTCCAGGGACATCCGAAGAGACTTCGAGAAGCATCCAAGAGGCCTCTGGCCAATCTGCTCGCCCCCTCATCCTTCTCGTCATCATCCTCATCATCTGCCTGTTCCCCCTCGCCCCTCCTCCGCCCCCCCCCTTTTCCCCCTGCCCTTCCTCCTCCGATTCCTCGCCCATCTCCCCCCATCTTGGGGTATGACAGCTTTCTCAACACCCCCAGTCCACTGCATGTTCCTCCGAACCCCTAATCAGGATGACTCGCCTGGGCATCGTTTCAGGATAGGCTGGTGGGGTTACTTGTTTGTTCGCAATCACAAACGGCCAGCCGCGCGGCGTCGTGGAGTCGCGCGAAAACCAAGCCTACAGCGAGCAGGACAGAGGCCCACACTACAGCAGGCGAGCGCGGAAAAAGGCAAGACTCGAGGCGGCCGCAAGCCGGGCAGGACCGAGGCCGAGCGCGGGCGGCGAACGGACAGCGAAGATGGCCATGCTCAGCTCAGAAGCCGAAGATCACGAGCCCGAGCACACCAAAGACCTCGACCTCCTCGAAGAGACACGCCACGTTTCCGTCAAAGCGTATGCCAATGCGGGAGAACAGCGCAGCCGTCGTCAACCACTATACTGCGAACCACACCGCGTAAGCAGCAGCTGGTGAGGTTACGCGAAGCATCTAGAATTCGTATAGCCGTCCAGCCTTCGCGTTACGCTTAGGCGCTTGCTTTCGTTTCACTTTCGTGTCACTTCAGTTCCGCCTCCGTTCGAATACGCTCAATGTCCTCCATGGGCCTAACGCCATCAGAGCACAACGACCGCGGAGGCCCGAAAGCGACGCGGAAGTGGCACGGAAAGGACGCAGAATGTTCTCGCGTAACACGCAGACTCTCATGAACGGCTACACACATGCACCGATCCCGCTACTCCCTGGACCTTTCCCGGGGCGCATTCTGATCAGCAGTTCGAGGCGAATCCAGCCGTCCCCAAAAAACGAAAACGGAGGAAAGGTGGAGGCCCAAACATCCGACGTCCTGATCTTGTCCCGACGTGGCTCCCCAAAGGCCTGGATCCCTCCCCCCGGACCGGTTTTTCATCCTGGACTGCTGTTTGACGGTCCCGGGGCACAGAGAGGGCCCCCGCATTCCGAAATTCACAAAAAAAAAAGCCAACTGGCACACAAGAAGCAATCGTGATTGCTGAACGGCGCAAGCATGTCCGAAGGCATGGTAACGGTACCTGAGCGATGAAAGGAAACGCGCCTCACGCGAGATGGCACAGCGGCCTGCCCGGGCCGCCAGCCTGGCACACCGCGCGGAGAAGAGGGCACTCACGCGCGACACTGCGCGGGAAGCCTACGCGCGAGCGTCGGCGCCGTCGACCCCGCCTCCCTCCGTCGCTCACCCCTTCTGGTACGTTTCCTAGAAGGAACGCCAGCGAAAGGGGCTTCTGACACCGCGGCGTTGCACTTGAGACTTCGACAAGTGCGAGTGGAGGCGTCACGCGGCGACCTCGTGGGCGAAGCCGAGCGGCGTTGAAGAATCGGCATCGCCGTCTCAAAAGTCCCTCTCCCTGGGGGCCCCTTTTGGAAACACATGACATTCCTTAGGGGAACGAACAATGGCATAAACATAACAACTCGGAGGTCCGCGCGGATTTATCGGATCGGCGCTGGACCCCCCCTCCCTGCGGCGCTGGAGGCGAGGCCAGGGGGGTCCAGCGCGGATCCGGGAACTCCGCGCGGACCTCCGAGTCTTTCTGCTTCGGTCTCTGTCTGGCCCCCTGCCTTTTTTGGAAACACATGCCATTCCTCCTCCGAGCCTCGTCCTCCTCCTCGTCCTTTTCCTCCTCCTCCTCCTCCTCCTCCTCCTCCTCCTCCTCCTCCTCCTCCTCCTCCTCCTCCTCCTCCCCTCCTCCTCCTCCTCCTCCTCCTCCTCCTCCTCCTCCTCCTCCTCCTGCCTCCTCCTCCTCCTCCTCCTCCTCCTCCTCCTTCCTCCTCCTCCTCCTCCTCCTCCTCCCTCCTCCTCTCCTCCTCCTCCTCCTCCTCCTCCTCCTCCTCCTCCTCCTCCTCCTCCTCCTCCTCTCCTCCTCCTCCTCCTCCTCCTCCTCCTCCTCCTCCTCCTCCCTCCTCCTCCTCCTCCTCCTCCTCCTCCTCATCCTCATCCTCTTCCTGGGTCCGCCTCGTCCAGCGCCCCCTGCGCGGCCTCGGCGCCTCCGAGGCGCTCGAGGCAGACGCCGCGGGCCGCCCAGGTGGCGGCCTGCAGCAGCCGCAGCATGGCCTCGCGGTCCTCATCGCCGCGCAGGGGCGCGCGGAAGCGGCGGCACGCACGGCGCAGCTCCTCGGGGGCAAGGGGGAGGAGAAGGGGGAGGGGGAGGGGGAGGAGGGGGAGGGGGAGGAGGAAGAGGAGGAGGGGGAGGAGGAGGGGGAGAAGGAGGATGAGGAAGAGGAGGAGGAGGAGGAGGAAGAGGAGGAGGAGGACGAGGAGGACGAGGAGGACGGGGAGGACGAGGAGGACGAGGACGAGGACGGTGGTCGTCACCCGGGGGGTCGACGCGGCGTCTGGGTGAGCTCTCGTGCGGGAGCCACCCGTGGGCCTCAGCAACCCAACCGCACAAGCGCGATGTCCACGGCTTCTCGCACAGAGTTCAACCACCCTTTTCGTCCAGATTTGGGACAGATGTTATCCAAAGTTCGTGCGGACGTAGCCCAATCCAACGAAATCCGGACGAAATGTCGAAAACCGCAAGGAAGTTGGGGAACCCTCTGAGGCCCCCATGACGGACCATACAAACGACGGTTTCTCCTCGCCTCTCCCAAGCCTCCGCAAGCATCTTGCGCAGCGACCAGGCTCAACCGCGCACAAGTCAATGCGCATCGACCGGGCTGTACAGACAACGTCTCGGCAAAAATGGCGCTTTACCGGGCTCGACAAAGGCGCAGGAAAAGCAGGCAGGAAGATTCGCTCAGGCACTGACTACGGGGAGGGTAGAGATAAACAAGACGGGCTGCGCAATGCAACGCGCGCCAGCTGTGCGCGGACGAGGAGCCCAAGACAGGAGGAGGGAGGAGAACGAATATGCAAATATACGACCACAGAAATACACCAATGCCTGTGGATGGAAAGCCCGCGCCCCTGTAAGACCTCAGGACCGCGGCTCGAAGACATCGACGATGCCGGCATCAAATCAACTTCGGGAGGGTGCAGGTGCGTACGGAGAACATTTCGATAAAGTAGAATGAGTCGGCTAACTGGTGCCGATGCGAACGAGACGGCACACGGCAGGCGGCCCCTCCTCAAATGAGCGGCTCTGCAGCGGGCGGCCCCAGCCCACTCGAATACCGCACCGAGAGCGCGGCGTCAGGCAGGCAGCGGCAAGTCGCCCCCGCTGCTGCTGACGCGCGCCTGGACCAGCTGCTGATAAAAGCTGGCTGCCTGGCAGTATGCCACCCCCTTGAGAATGCCTTGGCAGCTCCTCTGTACGAGACCCTGCTGGCGGTAGTGCGCGGCACGGCCCTACGCTTAAGTCGGGCGTGTCCCCCTACAGGGGGATTTTCCACGAAAAATGAAGAATACCCACAAAAGAAGAAAAACAAAAAAAGACAAAAAACAAAAAAAAAAAAAACAAAAAAAAAAAAAAAAAAAAAAAAAAAAAAATCCCCAGACTATTTTTGGACTATTTTTTGATTATTTGTGTTGGGTATTTTTTTCCGTCGAAAATCCCCCTGTAGGGGGACAGGCCCGACATAACCCTACGCGTACTGCAAGAGGCTCGAGAGATCCGCCCCCGCTCCGGAGAGAGCCCGCACCGCGGCCAAGACCGCGAGATACTCGGCGCTGCGCGGGGGGCAAGACGGTGCCCAGGTCAACCCCGAGAGAGGCACGTGGTGGTCGAGGCGACGGGCGGCTTGGTCGGCGGCCCAGGCGCCACGCTGGCCTCGCGGGATGCCGCGCCGGCGGCTGCAGCACTGCAGCCGGGGACGTCGCTGGGCGCGGCGGTCGACGCGGCTGCACCGGCGGCGATGCCATCGCCCTGCTCGGGCGAGAGCTGTGCCTCGTTCTCTTGCCCGCCAGAAAGCCGATTCATTTGAGACGAACTGGGTCTAGGACGAAGCGTCTCACCAGCGCCACCGCCATCGGGATGAACAGCTGCATCCTCACCCGAGCACGGGGCCATTGCAGGCAGCAGCCGTCGCCGCAGCAGGGCTTCCCCACCTCCTTGCTGAGGATCACCTTCTTTGTACCGTGGCGAAGTCCGCCGAGGCTCCTCCACGCGACCGTCGCGATGAAGAGCATCATCGTCATCCCGACCATCGGGAAGAAGAGCTCCACCATCCCGGGGGTCCGGGGCTATTGAAGGTTCTTAGTCGCAGCTGCAGGGCGTCGGGGATGGCGCCGGGCAGGGCGACGGGTAAGGCGCCGTGAGGACTAGGTGGAGCGTCGAAGGGTTGGGAAGGTCGCGGGGTCTGCGGTAGGGCGTCGGGTAGGGCGTCGGGTAGGGCGTCGGGTAGGGCGTCCGTTAGAGCGTCGGGTGGGGCGTCGGAAGGCCGTCGGGAACAGCAGCATCGTCGCCCGAGCCTGGGGCCCTTGCAGGTTGCCGCCGTCGTCGCTGCAGAGCTTCACCATCTCCTTGCTGAGGGCCACCGTCTTCTTGCCGAGGTGAAGGCTGTCGCCGAGGACCATCCGCACGGACATCGTGATGAAGAGCGTCCCCGTCGTCCTGGCCATCGGAAAAGAGAGCTTCACCTTCCCGCGAGTCCGGGGCTATTGCAAGTTTTTGCCGTCGTAGCTGCCGAACTTCACTATCTCCTTGTGGCGGGGCGACGGGTGGGGCGTCGCTTATGGCGCCAGGTAGGGCGTCGGGTGGGGCGTCGGGTAATGCGTCGGGTACCAGTGACACAGTAACGGTACCAGTGACCCGTCACCATTTGCAAGGTTCGAGGTTTCAGGACGCCTCTGGCGTGTTACCGATCCCGATCTTCTTCCTCCTCCTCCTCCTCCTCCTCCTCCTCCTCCTCCTACTCCTCCTCCTCCTCCTCCTCATCATCATCATCCTCATCATCATCCTCATCCTCATCCTCATCCTCATCCTCATCCTCATCATCATCATCATCATCATCATCATCATCATCATCATCATCAGCAGCAGCATCACCATCATCATCATCATCATCATCATCATCATCATCATCAGCAGCACCACCATCATCATCATCATCACAATCATCAGCAGCATCATCAACAGCATCATAATCATCATCAGCATCATCATCGTAATCAGCATCATCATCATCATCATCATCATCATCATCATCATCATCATCATCATCATCATCATCATCATCATCATCATCATCGTCATCGTCATCGTCATCGTCATCGTCATCGTCATGATCATCATCATCATCATCAGCATCATCATCAGCATCAGCATCATAATCAGCATCATCATCAGCATCATCATCATCATCATCATCATCATCATCATCATCATCATCATCATCATCATCATCATCATCATAATCCCCATACTCATCCTCATCCTCATCCTCCTCCTCCTGGAGCTTCCTCCTCCTCCACCTCCTCTCTTCCTCCCCCTCCTCCGGTACCAGTGACTGGGCAACGTTTGGGAGGGGACAGACACAGGGAGGGAAGTTTCGACTTCGAGGTTGCGGGAAGTCATCGTCTGTTCTCGGCGGGTTTCTGGCCTCAGGATGCCCTCCAGCTGCTGCGCCCTGCGGGGGGCGGTCCGGGGGTGCCCAAGATCGTCCCGAATGACCGCCGCAGCCCCCAAGATATGACCCGAAAACCACCAGGCACGGAAGAGATCTGGGGCACATGTCTGAAGGGGCCCTGGGACACACAAATTCGCTGGCCCAACGGGCCAGAGGCGTGCTAAGATCTCCGATAACTGGTTAACAATATTTCTAATTCGCGCGCGCCGGGCGGCCCCTGGGGGCCCCTGGATCAAAAGTACCCCGAGAGGAGTCCGAGAGGGTCCCGGGAGCAGCCCGAGAGGGTCCTGGGAGACTCCCCCGGGGCCCTCAGGATCGCAAAAGAGGGCCCCCCACCACTGCTACCCAGAGATGGTTTTCCTCCTGGGTGTGGCTTCTCAGGCCCCCAGAGCGCGCCAAGAGTGCCCCAAGAGGCCCCCAAGACTGCCCAAAGGGCCCCCGAGACGCCCAAAGAGCGCTCCAAGACGCCGATGATGACCCCAAGACGGCCCAAGACCACGGCCCAAGAGGCCTCCAAGTGGCCTCCAAGAGGCCTCACAAGAGGGCCCCGAGAGGCCAAAATCATAATGTTTACGATGGTTTTGAAAGGATTTAGGCCTTGTCCCCTTTTCGGCCATCCGATGCTCCAAGACGGCCCAAGAGGCCCCCAAGAGCGCCCCAAGACGGGCCAAGAGGCTTCCAAGAGGGCCCCAAGAGGGCCCGAGAGAGCCCCGAGACAGCCCAAGAGGCGCCCAAGACAGCCCAAGGCGGCCCCAAGACGGCCCCAAGAGGAACCCAAGAGGGGGACCACGAACCGAAACCTCGCTCCTTCCGCCCCAAGAGGGCCCCAGGAGGCCCCGAGAGGCCCCCAAGAGGCCCCAAGATGCCGCCAAGAGGCCCCCAAGAGGCCCCAGGAGGCCCCCAGGAGGCCCCCCAGAAGGCTTCAAAAATGCCTCCCAGGCGCCCCCGAACGGCTTCTCAAAAGACCCCAAGAGGCCTCCCAAAGAAGCATCTTGACGACGACCCTGTTTGGCCCCAAGAGCAACACAAGATGCCAACGAGAGGCTTCCTCCTCCGCCCCTTCCTCCTCCTCCTCCTCCTCATCCTCCTCCTCCTCCTCCTCCTCCTCCTCCTCCTCCTCCTCCTCCTCCTCCTCCTCCTCCTCCTCCTCCTCCTCCTCCTCCCCTCCTCCTCTCCTCCTCCTCCTCCTCCCTCCTCCTCCTCCTCCTCCTCCCCTCCTCCTCCTCCTCCTCCTCCTCTTCTCCTCCTCCTCCTCCTCCTCCTCTCTCCTCTCTCCTCCTCCTCCTCCTCCTCCTCCTCCTCCTCCTCCTCCTCCTCCTCCTACTTATCTTCATCCTCCTCCTCTCCTTCTCATCCTCTCCTCCTCCTCCCCTCCCCTTCCCCATCCTCATCTTCTTCCTCCTCGGCGGCGCCACAATGGCCCCGGGCCCACGGCGAAGCAGTAGCGATCATGCAACATGGGCCAGCAGCGGAATGAGCGAAGCGATTTTGAATAAATACACAAAAGGAAAGATTCCCCATATTTTCCTATTGTTATGGGTTTTTGTCTTCCCC